TGTAAATTTTGTTATATATGCACATACAAAATAATAATAATAATAATAATGTATTATTATTATAATTCAATTTTTATTCTGTTTTATATTCTACTATATATATATATAATATATATCGGCTGTATTTTAGTCTGTTACATATACATACTTATTCAAACTTATTTTTATTTTATTAATTAGATTGAATTTTAATTTTTCAGATTATTGAAATAGGAAGTTGGGGAGAACTACTGTAAGGGCTTGTCTTCTTTTTCTTTATACATTTATTGAATTTATTTATTTATTTATTTTTATTATTTATTTATTTTTGCCCACCTGCCACCCAGCACTCTAGATATTGTCATCTGCCATTGAAAAACCTGTATCAACCACTATACAGCAGTTTATTCTTAATATGATCTTCATGCTTCATTCTCGTCGTGTTGTAGCCTTTTGTCATCCACGACATGGAGACGCTGCAGTTGGCCGAACAGACTCTTGTGGCCAAGATGGTAGGCTCTTCTGGGGCTCTGCTGAATAAAGACGCTGAGGTTCGAATCTTCCACTGCTGTCAGTGCACTTCGGTCGAGACAGTGACCGAGCTGACTGAATTCGCCAAATCCGTGCCAGGCTTCTCAGACCTGGACTTAAATGACCAGGTTAGTGCCAAATACGAGCATCACGTCCTGTAAACACCTCAAGCTTCATAAAAATGAAGATCTTCAGATATGCACATATCTCTTCATTGAGCGCAGTCTGTTTTCTCGGACAGGTGACATTATTAAAGTACGGCGTCCATGAGGCGCTCTTCGCCGTGCTGGCGTCGTGCATGAATAAAGACGGCCTGCTGGTCGCGTACGGCAGCGGCTTCATCACCAGAGAGTTTCTGAAGAGCTTGCGACGGCCGTTCAGCGAAATGATGGAGCCCAAGTTTCAGTTTGCCATGAAGTTCAACTCCCTCGAACTGGACGATAGTGACCTCGCACTGTTTATCGCTGCCATCATCTGCTGTGGAGGTGTATATATAATATAGTTATTATACTATTATGAATAGTAGTATTATATTATTATTATTATAAAGATATTTTTATGAAATGTTTTTTTTCAATTATTTTTTATTTGATTATATATATTTTTTGTGATATACAGTATATTATAGTTAGTTAATTAATTATTTTATGTATTGTTTATATAGATACATATATATATATATATACTTTTATTATTATATGTTTTCAATTATATTTTTATTTTTAAATGCTTATTCTATTATATAATTTTTACACATACACACATATGTATATATGCATTATTATTATTATTAATATTATTATATATATAATATTAAAATATTTTTATGAAAACACATATTTAAAAATAAAAATATTATCTCATATATGATTAAATTTTTATTATATTTTTATTTTATTATTTACAGTTTTTACATTTTGCAGTAATACTTGAATATAGGCTTGAACTTATACTAGTACAGGAGTAAAAGCAACCGCTTTTAGCTACGCAAGATGGATTCTGTGCGTTGAAAACGCCTGTGTTGTAGAACATTTTTAAATTCTAATGAACTCTTACAAGTACTAAAAAGAATAGACCAGTTTTTGCTTGCCAGTGATTTATTTCAGACTCATGCTCTTCCAGATCGGCCAGGCCTGGTGAACGTCCCGCACATCGAGCGAATGCAGGAGAGCATCATAAACGTGCTTCATCTGCACCTCAAGAGCAACCATCCAGACAACGGTTTCCTCTTCCCTAAAGTCCTCCAGAAACTAGTGGACCTGCGGCAGCTGGTGACGGAGCACGCTCAGTTAGTGCAGGAAATCAAGAAGACAGAAGACACTTCGCTGCATCCCTTACTGCAGGAGATTTACAGAGACATGTACTGAGTCGGCTTTGGCTCATTCGTCTGCTTGATTTCTAGAAAAAGCCGTTTCTCTCAGGGGCCCTCAAAACAAGTCCCCTCCACAGCTACACTGTGATCTTTAATAAGGGGCGTCATGTGAACCACTATTTCCGTGATTTCTGGATGAAAACGGCAAGAGCATCAGGGTTCTTCAGTACCGCTGAGTTAAACAATGGTTCCTGTCGTAAGTGGTTTAAAGAGAAAAACAAGACAATGCCAATTAAAATGCATCCTGTGGGTTTAGGATCTTTTTTGGGGGGGATATTTTATAAACTCTTACTGGTCTCTTGGACCTGAAACTGTGAATAGAAACCCTACAATCCAACGTAATCATACAGCAATATGATTTTTTTATATTGACACGGTAACTTTTGATAGTGTGCGCTTTAAACCTGCAGTTTTCACCCAAGTGACTTCCACATAGACCTGCCGTAACCAGTGAAACTGACCGTTTTGTAACGCTACAGGGATTTTTGCTTCATGGTTAACATTGTCGTGAACACAGAATAAATTTTTTTGATCATGCTAACCTGGGAAATCAAAAATATGACAGCCAATTCGCAAATCTTTTTCAATCAAATCGAAATTATTTTTCACAATA